TCAAATAACAACAGAAGATATTCACAACGAAACGACAAAAAATAACAATCCTATTACTTTGAACACTGATGCCTCCCATCAAAAAACAAAGAGAGAAATATCTACTGACTCTCCTGAGATACATGAAACGCCACCCGATCCAACAATTTTTACCAAACCCAAAAATACAATTAAGCGGCCAAAATCATCACAATCTGATATCCTCGAGTCACTTGAATCTATTAAAGGTAAAATCGAATCTAAATACCCGACATTTCCTCTTAAATTTACAGTTCTTTGTGACGCGATATGTAACGCATTAAACTCAAATTATCCTACCCCCATAGTAGAAAATTACACAACCGATATAAGTTCTTTTAAAGAGATACTTCTATTCGCCCACGACCATATTCCTGATCGCAAAATAAAAAATAAACTAACAAGACTTCGAAAAAAGATACAATCCTTAGTTACCGATTCATCCTCGGATATTGAAAGCGATAACTCCCTTTCCCACGTTGTAAAATAAAATGGATAATACATTTATATTACAGTGGAATCTTAATGGTTATTTTAATAATTTAGAATCCCTTAATCTACTTATAAACGATCTTTCTCCTCTTATAATATGTTTACAGGAAACCCACCTTAAAAGTAATAACTTTAATATAAAAAATTATTCCCATTTCCTTAAAAATCGAGACGCAACATATGCTAGTGGAGGTGTTGGTATTTTTGTAAAAAATCACATTCAGACCAAAGAAATTAAGCTACACACTAATCTAGAAGCTGTAGCTGTATCAGTGTCATGCAATATCAACTGCAGACCTATTAACATATGTAACATTTACCTCCCTCATCCAAATGAAAATGTACTTGAAGAATTACATCGCTTAATCGATGATATTCCTTCTCCCAAACTAATACTTGGTGACTTGAATTGTCATAATATCACATGGGGTAGTATAAAAACAGACAAATGTGGTAGACTTCTTCAGAAATTAATAGACAATCAAAATCTAATTTTAATGAATACTGGTAAATCTACTCATTTCAGCTCCCACAATAGTACTTTTTCTGCCATCGATATTTCATTGTGTGATCACACATTAGCTACAAGTTTTTCTTGGAATAGTCTTGATTATCTATATAATAGCGATCATTTTCCTGTAACAATTGAAACCATTTTGCATGATCAACCAAATATTCCTGTTTACCAAAAATGGAAATTAAACTCAGCAAACTGGGACTTATATAGAGATCTATTAAATAATTATCTTACGAACTTTATTCTAGAAGATAGCATAGATTCATCTCTTTATCATTTCAATGATACTATAGTAAAATGCGCTAATATTGCAGTGGGAAAAACAAAACCTTGTAAACGAAAACCAGTATCATGGTGGAGTGAAGAAATAGCCTTAGCTATGAAATCTAGCAAACATGCTTTCAATGTTTTAAAAATACATAAAACAACAGAAAATATTATCAATTTTAAAAAACTTAGAGCAAAAACTAAATATCTTATTAAGAAAAGTAAAAAAGAAACATGGTCAAATTATGTCTCTACCATAAATTCATCAACACCTATGACTACAATCTGGAATAAAGTTCGTACATTAAAAGGTGAACAAAACTCAATTCATATTAACACTCTTTATTATAAAACCAAATTAATATCTTCCAAACAAGAAATTAGTAATATTATGTCAGATGTATATAAGAATAATTCAAGCAATGCAAACTTCAATCCCGCATTTTTAGATTTCAAAAATAAACGTGAAATGACAGATTTATCTATAATAGATAGTGATAATCCACTAAATTTCCCCATCACATATCAAGAATTTGAAGAAGCTCTAGATAAATTAAAAAACACTTCATCGGGTCCTGATAATATACCAATCATATTTATCAAAAACTTGCCGTACATAGGAAAATTAATTCTCTTAGACATTTTCAATCACATTTACCTTAATAAAAAATTTCCTTCAATCTGGTCTGAATCAACAATTATTCCCATATTAAAACCTTTCAAATCAAAAACTGACCCCCATTCCTATAGACCAATTTCTCTTACAAATAATACATGCAAACTACTAGAAAAAATTTTAAATAACAGATTAATGTGGTTTCTTGAAAAAAACCAATTATTAAGCCATATCCAAAGCGGTTTCAGAAAAGGCAGATCAACTCATGATGCCTTAGTAGCTATTGACAATATTATATGTGAATCCTTTAGAAATAACCAGAAAGTAATTGCCATATTTTTTGATATAAATAAAGCATTTGATACTGCATGGAGATACAACATTTTACAAACCATGTCCAATTGGGGTATCCAGGGAAATTTTCTTGCCTTTGTAAAACATTTCATGAATAATAGGATATTTCAAGTACGTGTAAATGGAATTACCTCAAAAACAGAATGTCTTGAAAACGGTATTCCACAGGGCTCAACCTTAAGCCCCACTTTATTCTTAATAGCAATTAATAATATCGCTCAAGAGATAAAGCTACCTTTGAAAGCAGGTCTGTATGCAGATGACTTAGTTGTATATACTAGTAGCTGTAATATTACACTAGCCTCAAACATTTTGCAATCATTTCTGCATAATCTAGAAGACTGGTCCCAAAAGACTGGTTTTACGTTCTCAGGTGATAAATCTCGTTTCATGGTATTCAATAAAAGAAAAACTGATTGCAAAACAACACTTACTCTAAATGGTATCAACCTAGAACAAGTAGAGAGCATTGACTTTCTTGGTCTAAGACTGGACAGTCAGTTAACATGGGCAGAACATATTAAAAAGCTAGTCGTATCCTGCCAATCTAAAATAAATCTCCTTAAAATGCTATCAAACCGATCTTGGGGAGCGGACACAATAAAATTGCTGCATATATACCAATCATTAATCCGAAGTAAACTGGATTATGGTGCAATATGCTATTCAACTGCGAGTAATTATATACTTAAAAAACTAGACATTATACAAAACACATGTTTAAGACTAATTCTGGGTGCTTACCGAACTAGTCCTGTTTCAAGTTTTCAGGTTATCCTAAATGAATCTCCCCTATCAATACGAAGACAACACATTTCTTTAACTTATGCCGCGAGATTGTCTTCCAACCCTAATAACACAAATTATCCACTTCTTTATAAAATATATCCACCTACTCATTGCCATCAACAAATTAAATATCCACCCCTTAAAGAACGTCTAACGAGATACGGTTTTGACATGGAGCAGCTCACACATTCTTACCCTACACAACGAACTATACCTCCCTGGACTATTAATTTCCCCACTATTGATCTATCCCTCACGGCCTATCCAAAGAGTACCACAAATCCCATAATCATTAACAAATTATATCAAGAACGGATATTAGAATACACTGGCCATAACAAGATTTTTACCGATGCGTCAAGAACTGAAAACGGACACGCAGCGGCCTATATTCTAGGAAAGTCTGAATATGCAGTTCGCATCCCTCAATTCTGCAGCATTTTCACGGGAGAAGCAATCGCCATTTTAAAGGCTTTAGACATGTGTAAGAGTCATGCAAGCTCAGATTTTCTTATCATTACTGACTCTTTATCTGTTCTTCAGAGCTTAAGGCAAATATATCCAGTACATGCTATCCTGCAACAAATACAATTAGCACTTTATCACCTACAAAACAGACACGTTAACGTTACATTTCTCTGGGTACCATCACATACAGGTATCGCAGGAAATGAAAAAGTAGATGGATTATCAAAGAAAGCTGCTACTGACGAGCAAACTGAAATTATGACTACAATTCCATTCAGTGATATCCAGCTCAATATTAAACAGCACTGTGTAAAAAATTGGCAACAAATGTGGAATTCTACTAAGGCTAACCTTAAAAACGTGAAAACTAGGATTGGCACTAAACTACAATTTCCAGAAAACAGAAGGCAACAAGTGATTATAAACCGACTAAGAATTGGACACACAGCGTTAACCCACCAGCATCTCATAACAAAAGAACTACCACCTGAATGTTCCTATTGTGAATGTCCAATAACTGTTCAACATGTATTGATTGTCCTCTTTATTCCTACGAAAGAGCCATCAACAGCGTACCAGAAGAAGCAAAGAAACTTAAAGATATTTTAAACAGTAATGTATCTAATACAATCAAATTCCTTAAGGACATACGTTTACTACACAAAATTTAAGTTATATGTATCTCTTTGTAATTTGTAATTTATTATGTGTAATTTGTAATAACAATTTGTAATAACAACTGTAAAATCTGTAAAACCCGCTAATAACCTTTAATGGTTGATGCGGAAATTGTAAATAAAAAAAAAAACTTTACATTGAATTGGACCTTCTAACAAAACAGACTTTAAAACTATGGTTATGTACCAAATGACAGAAACAATGTACTAACTGCATATGTCGAAATGAACTTGCAAACTTTTTGAATTATTAATTAATTATCTGATGTTAATTTTATTAAATAAAAACTAAGATATTATGATAATTAGCTGATAACAGCTATCATGCTACACATTTAAACAAATTTTAATAAACAATAAAAAAGTTATAACAATATTCAAAAACAGCGATTTTGTTGTTTATTTTGTAATAACTTTTTTGTTTATTAACTGATTATAATTTAGCGTATCTTATTTTGGCTATCATTTTTTTTAAGCTGTCTGTTAATAATTGATAGTGAATTTTAATTGTTTATTTAAACATATTTTCATTAAACAATTGTTGAATCCCTAGATAAGAGACTTCTTGTAATATCTCATACTACACATTGCAACTGTCAAACCCATTTATACACTTGTGTCAAGAAAAATCTAACATAATAATTGACCTAGATTTTTTTTATTTGTTTGATCCTCTCGTTCCATATAAGGCTGAATCATGTCTGTCTGATTCCAGTTTTTAGTTCTGCCTGGACTTGTCTATTATACAGTAGATGTATATGATCTGTTAAATGCCTTTAGAATTAAATTATCGTCACTGTCTATGTTAGGCGTAAACTGTCTCACTTCTACTGCAATATTCCTCATATTTATTCCAGTAATTTCTACAATTTCTCCCTTATTTCTCAACCAAAAATTAGGTAAGTCTTCTGCTTAAAGTGACTTAAGTCACTAAAGTCAAATTATTTCTTGAAACATTATATTACGCACATATTTGAAAATCATCTGAGTCAAAATAAAACTGTAAAGTAAAAATCTGTGATTTGACTCATTTATACAGTTCCAATTCTCGTTCTCAAGATCCACTTATTTCAAAAAATCACATCTCGACTTTAGGAATTATTGGCAATACTTAATGGTAATAATACACAGTTCATGCGAAAGGATTTATTTCGTGCAGTAAATAAATATAAAAGCAATAAACTTAAATTAGAGTTAGTAGTCATAAACAACGTTTAGAGGCAGTTTAAGAGTGAATTTATGCGTTCTTTTTGTGAGATGAACCAGCCAATGACGATTACGTATTCCGTAATAGATACGACAATTATTATGGCAAACAGCAGACAAATTTAATGCATAGACAACAATAGAAAACATGGAGATTTACAGAATCATGACAAACATGATTTGTGTTTAGCCCATTGGGATAGAGTTAATATAGCAAAGTAAATATGAATTAAAAAATATATTCCATTGTAAAAAAACTTTCAATTATTCAAAAAAGTCGTTCCCTGCTATCAAAGTAGTCGTTTACACTAAAACCTGAACTAAAAGGTTATACGAATAGAAAATCTACAATAGACTAATTGGCTGAAGTATGACCGATTGCTGATGAAGTATGACCGATTCCAGCAGTATGATCCACTGCTGGATATAGGCCTCCCTCAGTTGTTTCCAGTGTTCCCTACACTGGGCAGCTTGTAGCCAGTTTCCCGCTACACATTTTATATCATCGGTTCATCTAGTCGGAGGTCGTCCCCGGCTTTTTTTATAGTTTTTGGGCCTCAATTCCATAATACGTCTTGTCCACCGTCCATCTTGTATTCTGGCTAAGTGCCCTGCCCAGTTCCACTTGCTACAAGAAACCGTCTGCAGGAGGTTCGAAATGTAAATGTAAGTGAGAGAACGGTTAGAAGATGCCTTAATGAAAGAGGACTAATGATAAGGAAGCCGGCTATTGTTCCCGAATTACAACCCAGACACTGTTGGAATCGCTTAATATCTGCTCGACAACATCATCACTGGAATATACGTTATTTGGAGCTGAACTCTCTTTACTGCTGAATTACGGTTCTGTTTAAAGTCCAGCGATGGCCGAGAAGAAAGGCCTTATATGTCGCCTCTCTGGCGCTTATATGTCGCAGAGAAGAAAGTTTGATGGCGGTGGTGTCATGCTTTGGGATGGAATTTCATTTGAAGTACGAACTAAACTTATTTTCACGAGTGGCCACCTGAATGCTCACCGGTATATAGAGGATGTTTTGGCAGAAGCAGTAGTTCGATTTGGTTCATTTATTGGGGGGGATAATTTCGACTTTATGCATGATAATGCACAGCCGCATACAGGAATAATCGTGACAAATTACTTGGGGGAAATAGGAATTAATATTCTAGAATGGCCAGCTTATAGTCCTGATCTGAATATAATCGAACATCTTTGGGATGAACATACTCGTAGTGTTAGAAATCAATCAGGACAGCCATAAAGTCTTGCAGAACTTCAAAACATGCTTTGTGAAGAATATGAACGTATTCCTCAAGTTTTTATTCAAATTTTGTTCCTTTACCTTCCAAATCGTATGCAAACGGCTATTGATGTTTTAGGGCATAATACTCGATATTAGACAATTTTGTTCAAGTTGGGTCTTAATTTTTATTGTTTGTAATTCGTTTCCATATAACAATATTTTATTTTGTAGCCTTCTAATTAAATAAATTATGCTAAGGAATCAAGCAGTAATGGTCATTTTTTGTTTTAAAAATAAAACACGTTTAGTATACATTATAAATCAGTGCATAAAACTTCCATTGAATTATTATTTTCGGAAATGTATAGGGTTGCCACTTTTTTGCCGGTCAGTGTATATTCGAAAATTAATCCTATCGTCGTTAATCTTGGGGACTATTCGAGTGATAGTGACTGTGAGTCTTCTTCTGACGAAGACATATGAGTTTTATTAATGTAGTATAATGTTAATTACTTTTAAAAGATGATTATTAGATTTTTAAGTTGTGTTGTAATATATTTAACTAAAATATATATAACTCTGTATCAATTTATCTAAATAGTCCTTGAAACTATAATTTTTTTAAAAATACCACATAACAGCAACTTTTTATTCTAGAGCATTACCCATTTACTTCATCTCTCAAAATATGCACGACAATGTTTCACAATCTTCTAAGTACTTAGTACTAAGTTCTGTACTAAACTGATTCCAGTATTTCAACAAGATTGGTAAGTTCACTCTCCTTTCCGTCAAATAATATGCTATCAATTTATTGGTTATTGTTATTGACTAAATTAATTAAAGGATCTTTTCAATAAAATGCGTCAATTTGGCAATAATTTAGAAATCTTCATTTTAATTTAGTTGCTAGTGTGGTTTATAGGCTACATACAAGAAAAACTACCACATCCTTATCCATAGAGATTATCCATTGTTATAAATGATGAGAAATATGGACAGATTAAAATAAAACAAGCGAAATGACAGCAATCGATGTAATCACACGATCAGACACATAATCTCTTTTATACGGACAATATGGATTACAACTAGGTAATAACCGTCCCCACGCAATTATCGTCCCCCCTCAGTTAATAACTTTGTATTACCACAAAACAAAGCTGCGGGATACTCCTTTTACGAGAGAATATACTAGCGTGTTTGCAATATTCCCTAAGGATAATGAGTGGTTCGCTAAACAAAATGGAGCAATTAAAGAATACATACAAAAATGATCAAGTAGCCAATATCCGACACAAGATATACGGACAACTAAAGAGATTGAATGGCCCAACTATAAAATTTAGAAATAGGCGAACGAAGTTGGATAAAGATAAACTTGTAATAAACTATAACAAATTTTTGGCAACATCGCTCTTAAACCAAACGATATTCCCCTTATCAACTTTGCAGAGGCGTACCAGAATATTTTAATTACATACTTACTATTTATTTAAGCACATAAGGAATTACGTAAAAATTAAATCTAAGACAGATATAATTTATTAAATTATTATGTGCGTGTTGACAGATATCTTATACTGAGCTACTGCCACACCTACACTGTACAAAGTGTATTTTTTTAATACACAATGTGCTTTTCTTCTACCGACATAAACTTCCGCTTTCTTTGTACATTATTTGGACCCGCTATGGCATTCATCTTAATGCTAAAAAAGTATAAACATCAATCATATTATTCTGACATTTGTCTGTTGTTTACTTACCTCTAAAACTATTTCAAAGTTAATAAATATAGTAAGGTCTAGTTAATTAATATAAAATAAAGTCACATTCACAAGAAACAGAACACACCACGCCTATGCAACCTCTCCAAGATATGGACGCTTAATAATGAAGAAACCGAACGAATAAACTATTTCTCCAATTCTCACTCTTTCCAAGAATGTAAATATTTTGAACAGCGATGTATTGATAAGTTGACCGATGTTTCAAAGTATTCAACGAACTGATTCAACTATTCGCTCGTGAATCGCATCGGTATGCAGAAAGTATATTGTTACGGAGGTAAATCTTATGGAACCATCTTACTTATTACTTATCCACATTAGCGACCAACTAACAATAAAAATGACCCCGGTAAGAATTTACTTCTGACAATTAACGCTGTTGCCGTTAGCTCTCAGTTCAATTTGTAGATAAGTCACCTTCAATTAAAAATTGTTATAGTATAGACTGAACTCGGCGATACACCTTACATAGATAAATGGGGAACACATGGAAATCAACAAAAAGGTTTTACTAAACAAGTTCCCAACCGTATTATAAATCAAGTAAGGGGAAACATTGTTTTCTAAACTGTTTAATACGGTTTTGGAGCATGATTCTAAAAACGTAGAATGAAAAACAATTGGTATAAAAATATACTAAATAGGTGAATATCTAAACAGCTTACCCTTTGGCGATGATATATGATTACGCTATATATTTCGCTTATGCCATTGCTATTCTACCTATACACGGAACAAATATTTGAGGAGGCACTTAAAGAGTACAATGAAGGCATTAAGTTTAATGGCTTACTAATAAATAATCTTCGAAATGCAAAGCATACTGTTATACTGGCTGGCTAAGAACACCGGAAGATACATGGAAAGAGGACACCGATTCAAATATCTAGGATACACGGTGAATGATAAGTTTGGATCTGACGTAGAGATTAAAATCCAAGTTGAAATAGCGAAATCTAGATTTATAAAAATGAGAAAGCTCTTAGAAGCGTTAGCATCCAATGGCGCGAAACGAAGTGTTATTTGCTGTCTACACTACTTTACGAAGAAGAAGAGTGGACGTTAATATCAACTATAAAAGAGTAAAACTCTATTCTGCCATAGAGATTTAAACAACGTAGAAATGCCACAAGCAAATAGCTTCATAACCATATTAAGAAAGGCTTAGGATATGAGAGAAATTACGAAAAGCCACTTATACCTATAGGAAAAAGCAGGAGAAAGAAGAAGCTATTATTTAACTAACTCTCTATGCAAACCTACCCTTCAGTTTAAATGTTATTTCCTAAACAGACTTGGAGTATACGTCATAACAATATCAATTTCTCTCGCCAAATAGAAATTTCAATCTACGCCAAATTATCGGCCCATCGGTGACGTAGTGGTGAAATTGAGAGCAAATCTCCAATTTCAGAAATTAATCCTGGAATTATCACTGTCCTCCCGTAAAATAAACAGTGCCGATCATCGGACAAAATCAAAATCCGCCACCCGGACGTCCGTTTTCCATTATGTTAATTTCGGTGAAAATCCCCTGAATAAATCCTTTCAAAAATTTTATCCATCACTCGCTGCTGCTTGTAATTTTATGCTTTGTTTCGATTGTATGCGTTGTGTACGTGACACGACTGGACGGGCATAAAAAGATACATCTGTTTC